TTTGTTTTTTTGTTTTATGTTTATATATATATATGTATATATATATATATATATATATATATATATATATATATATATATATATATATAATGTTTAAACAATTTTCCTGAAACGTTTACATTTAGATATTTAAATTCAAAACACTTATGTTTGTATTATAATGTAATTTAACATTAAACATGAATCCAGATCTGTATTTTGTGTCCCTATATTTTGTTGAAATCAAAATAGCCAAAACTCTTAATAAACCTTAATAATAAAATAAACCTTAATAACTCTTAATAATAAAAGCTATGGAAAAACTTAAACTTTTGATTGTATCTTCGTTCTTTTTGTTTTGTTATTGTTTTTGTTACTTGTGTGTTTGTAACCTTTTTAATGTTATTATGTGTTCTGTAATAAAAGCGAAATAAAAATAGCTTTTTCTTTGCTGCTTTAATGAAATAAATTCTTTATAGTTTTAATTTAATGAATGTCCTTTAATATCTGTCAGTAATTAACAACGGTCCCTCTAGATTCTCTTTGCCACCTGGAAAATTATCAGTCCCTTAAAGTGTATATACGGCCGGGAAGCAAGAAAACACACATCAAATTGTATTCGCAATACTTCAACTTTATTCATAGATACAAGGATATTATATAGGCATATGTCGAGGGGAGTTTCAACCCTTTAACCAATGAGGATATAGATGACATACATATAGGATTTTGGCCAAGAATATGTGTTATATAAAATGGCCACATGTACAGGAAAATATGGACATATTAGGAATAAACTTGGTGAAGGATGCTGAACTATCTCCATAGTTCAGCACGAACCCCCATTACCTTGGAGTCCTAGCTAGCGTGTCCTCATTTGAACATTTGAACCAAGAAAAGCTAATGCATACATGTGCGCATGCGTACCTCGAATATGAGTAAGAGATATTAAAACATAATACAAGAGAGAGATCAGATGGAGGAGGGGGGAATCAGAGAGAAGACAACATTGCTCTGTACAGGGAGGGCAAGCAGAGAGGGAGAGAGAAGAAAACGAGGGTGAAAACATCTGGAACCAATGCAGACAGAGAGTGTTTTCTAACAATATCTCTAAGAAAATGTACTAGTTTGAAACAACAAGCGAGTAAAAGATGAGAGAATTCTCCTTTTTGGATGAACTAGCCCACTCTTCCCACAAGTTTAATGAACTTTTATTTTGAAACCTCACAGTGGCACCGGAAGTGAGTTCCAGATTCGCGGAGTCTGTGAGCACGCAGGCGTAGTTATCGCAATGAGTACAGATGGTGTGTCTCCGAGATAAAGCTTAAATGTAAGCGTTACAGTATGTTTATTATTTTGTCCTCAGTTTATAACCCACAGTCAGTGCCATTACAGCCAATATTTATAATGATGCATGTTATTAATTTGTTTAACACAGAGTTAACTATCGAGAGACGACCGAAATTGGATAACTGGGGGTCATTTTTCATAAACGTTTGGTCCCATTTTTTTTGTTGGCCATGATTGTTGGCTGTTTTTAACAAACATTGAATCACGCCATTAACATGACCGTTATTTAACCTCTGTAAGTCGGTTCACATGTCGCATATGGCACAATCAAAGCTTGTTTACTTAATTCCCAAGATTAGAATAGAGACTGCATGTATTGGACTGCTATGTATAAAAAGTCACAGAGTGGGCATTAGAGAGAAATTGTTTGAAATAAATAAACAACTGTGTGTGAGTGTCTGACAGACTCAATTCCTCTCTTAATCAGTGTCACTTGAGGTTTAACAGGCCAGCTCTACTGATAGATGGATGTATATGTTATATATGGTATGTCAGATGTAATTTGTGTTTCTTTTAGGTTGAATTGGTGAAGTGGATAATGGGCTGTAGTTGAGATCCAGAGAGATCATGGCATCATGACCGAGGAGCTGTTCAGAAACACACAGGTGTCCATGAAGGTGGCTGCTTTGCGCTTTGTGGACTTGCCTCTGTCAGTCTATTACTCGCTTCCACAGGTAAAGTGACCAGCCGCAGGGTTGTTTTCGAAGCTTACTTACTCCAAGCTTATTGCATTGTCATCCAAAAATTGCTTTTTAAATGTAGGGGTGTCAGCCTGGGTTCAGGTATATAAATGATCATTTAAAACATAATAATATTAAAGGGGTCATATGATGCGATTTCAAGTTTTCCTTTCTCTTTGGAGTGTTACAAGCTGACTGTAGATAGATAAGATCCCTGAAGTTGCAAAGACTAAAGTCTGAAAACCAAAGAGATATTCTTTATCAAAGTTAAGACTCTGCCACACCCCCCTAAAACGGCTCGTTCTTCTGTTCCCCTTTCGGGCTTGAACTGATGGTAAAACTAATGACATTATTTACTGTCTTTACATTTATTTTGAAAGATGAAGCTGGCGATTATGGTAAGGGGCGTTACATTTCCGACGAGTGCTTGCGGTGTTCGGCCAATCACAATGCACTGGGTCAGCTGGCCAATCAGAGCAGACTGCGCTTGTCGGAAGGAGGGACTTTGTAGAAAACGAAGCGTTTGAGAGAGGCGGGGCATAGAGGACCTACAATAATGTACAGTATTTGAAAAATAATGTGTTTTTTGAACATTAAAGCATGTCAACATATTCTGTTACACCAAATAATGATCTTTAAAAAAGCATTATATGACCCCTTTAAACGTTTTATATACAGTGCTGTGTAATCTAGATCATGTTATTTAGGTTCCAAAAATTGGTTACACTTTATTTTAAGGTGTCCTTGTTACAGTGTAGTTATACATTTAAATACTGAGTCATATTAATTAACTACATGTACTCTATTTAGGGTTAGAGTTAGGGTTTGGTTTAGGGTTAGTTGCATGTAATTCTGCATAATTTATTGTTATTATAATAGTAAGTACATGTAACGTGTAACAAAGACACCGTAAAATAAAGTGTTGAATGCAGATGAACAGGTATAATATTTCATATTTTTTATTAAGTGTTTTATTTTGATTGTTGTAATTTAACAATTAATTTAATTGAGCTTTTCATAAAGTCACAAACCCTGTACAGTTTCTTCCCAGTTAGGGAAACTTTGACGTAATATTAAATGCATTGGATGTTGTTAGTAACAATGAATTTTTTTTTATTTTGATATCAATATGGAACAAGATTATCCTATTTAAATCTATGTGATAAACACGTTAGGTCTAGTAGTAATCTAAAAGTGATCAAAAAGTACTCTTATTATATTACCTGAAATGTGTAATGTAATGGATTACATTACTAACTAAAATTTTTGTCATGTAATTTGGAATACACATACATACAGACATGCATATTTGTTTTTTTTTTTATACAATTATTTTTGTGGTGCATTAATAATATAGATTATAAAGTTTGTACTGTAAGTTGTAAATAAGCCATTTATAGGTTGATTCGATTCAGTTGTTGCTGTGTTCACACTGCACGATTGAACGACGACAGGAGGTTACACACCGCATGACTTTACAATAGGCAGAATCGCCGACAGCTCTGTCTGGTGCAGGGTTGCCAGATTTTCGCTATAAAACCCACCCAATTACTACTCAAAACTAGCCTGAAAATAGCCCAATTGCTTTAGAGGGGGCCCCCAGTAAAAATCGCGTTCGGTGGGGTAAAATAAAATATTTTTTGGCAGGGTTCTCCTGGTACAATTCACATTCCAGGGCCTAAATATCCCGTTATTGGGGTCGCTTCGCGGATTTGGCAACACTGGGACTCCGCAAACTACATTTCATATAACTCCTCCCTGAACTTCCCGCTGCCCTGTGTCTTGGTCTCTCATTGGCTGTAGGTCATCACCGATGTGTTTTTCAGTCAGGATCAAGCGGCAACCTCCCACTCTCTCTCGTGAAGCCAACACGGAAGTGACTTAAACTGTAATTCATCAACTGGCCGCTAGATGCTGGCTGCAAAAGGGAGTCAATCCCATAGACTCCCCATGTTAAAATGCCCAACTTTACAGCAGAAAAAAAAACATGTTAACAGCCTGGTTCAAAATTTTTTTTTGGTCTATATAGCTAATTTTGCCCTTGATGACAACTAAACTCATCCGTTTAAATTATATTAAGCCTTAAAGTTCTGCATAATTAAGGGCGTGGCCACTTGAGTGACAGGTGGATTGCCGCTGCTGTCACCACCGTCGAGCTAGGTGGGCGTGGCTTCAGCAACCTGCTCCCGCCTCTTTGCCCATTTTCGATTATCCGGGAGTGACGCGTGGTGACGTGCTGCCAAGATGGCGACGGCCGGCTCCGCCCAATTTTGAGATTCAAAAACGCTCTTCGGAAACCTACGGGTGACGTCACGGACACTACGTCCATGTTTTTATACAGTCTATGATCAGAACTCATTTCACACAGCGTGATTGTGAATCGCCGACAGCTCCAGATATTTAGCATGCCAAATATTTCACGGGCGTCGGCGACGTGTCGGCGATTCCCTCAGATCGAGTCTTTGATAATTCACACTGTGCGATTGTCACTCGCGCGAACGAGCACCGATTTGCCTCTGATTTCGGGCATTTGGCAAATCGTTAAATAAAACGTAGTTTGCGAACCAGTGTTGCCAAATCCGCGATTGCCGCCGGTTGTTTTTTATGTCAGCAGGTTGAACGTGATAACCCCCAATAACGTGATATTTAGGCACTGGAATGTTAATTGTACCAGGAGAACCCCGCCAAAAAAAAATTTCTTTTACCCCCCGAACGCGTTTTCAGGCTAGTTTTGAGTAGTAATTGGTAGCGAAAACCTGGCAACCCTGCACCAGACAGAGCTGTCGGCGATTCTTCCTATTGTGAAGTCATGCAGTGTGTAACCTCCTGTCATCGTTCCATCGTGCAGTGTGAACACAGCAGAAACTGAATGCTACCCCAGATAGTCACGCAGTGTGAACTCGGCATAAGTGCTTTGTTTAAACATGTTTACCAGCTTAACACATTGGCTCGACTGTTGGTCTGATTTTGTGGCAGAAGTATCTGTTTGTCCAGACAGGGGGAGTGTTTGAGAAACTTGTTTGAAAACCTTATTTTTTGCAGTTCTGAATGTTATTATTAATGAAAGTTATTACAAAGTGTTACCACTTTTATATAGGGTATATTTTATGTCAGACAAAGCTATTTATATAGATATTAGATTATTTATGATAGATACTTTAAAAAATTTAAAAATGCATATAATGTATGAATTATTACTGAATGAATTATTTCATTTTTTATTTAACTTTTTTACCAGTAATATATGTGAAAATCCACAACCTAGTTTTTGCTTACGAGATTATATTTGTCTTCTCACCAGCTTGCCATTGTTTTGATCATGTTTTATGGATTTCACAGCTGCCAATAACGTGATATTTAGGCACTGGAATGTTAATTGTACCAGGAGAACCCCGCCAAAAAAAAATTTCTTTTACCCCCCGAACGCGTTTTCAGGCTAGTTTTGAGTAGTAATTGGTAGCGAAAACCTGGCAACCCTGCACCAGACAGAGCTGTCGGCGATTCTTCCTATTGTGAAGTCATGCAGTGTGTAACCTCCTGTCATCGTTCCATCGTGCAGTGTGAACACAGCAGCAACTGAATGCTACCCCAGATAGTCACGCAGTGTGAACTCGGCATAAGTGCTTTGTTTAAACATGTTTACCAGCTTAACACATTGGCTCGACTGTTGGTCTGATTTTGTGGCAGAAGTATCTGTTTGTCCAGACAGGGTGAGTGTTTGAGAAACTTGTTTGAAAACCTTATTTTTTGCAGTTCTGAATGTTATTATTAATGAAAGTTATTACAAAGTGTTACCACTTTTATATAGGGTATATTTTATGTCAGGCAAAGCTATTTATATAGATATTAGATTATTTATGATAGATACTTTAAAAAATTTAAAAATGCATATAATGTATGAATTATTACTGAATGAATTATTTCATTTTTTATTTAACTTTTTTACCAGTAATGTGAAAATCCACAACCTAGTTTTTGCTTACGAGATTATATTTGTCTTCTCACCAGCTTGCCATTGTTTTGATCATGTTTTATGGATTTCACAGCTGTGTCTGATTTATCTTTGAATGCGTATATGTGTGTTGCAAGCTCACTGCCATGGATAAGATGGTATTAACAGAGCACAGGTGGCATTGCCAACACTGCTATTCTCACCTGCAGGCTTATGTCTTAACTGATTCCTTCAAAAACGAGATTGTTTTCCACTGCTTTTTGGTATGGCTTTTTACTGTGAAATACAAACGTAGATGTTTTCCAAAAGCTTTTGTACCTGTATATCAAAGGAAGACAGTGATCATCAGATACTGTTAAACTCTTAAACAAAATTATAATAATAATAAAAGTGCCGCTGCTATATTTCAGTCAAGTATTTTTGAAGTCTTCTGAAACAGTATGATAGCATTGTGTGATGAAAAGACCCACGTTTGAGTTTGAATCATTTGCTGAAAGATTTCTCCCACCCACTGCCATGGCTTTCAAATCTCACTCACAGTTTCATTATTCGGTCCTTAAGTGCCAAAGTAGGAAAAGCTGTGGCATGCATGAGTAGCTGTGCTTCATGTAGCAACCAGGATAAATAAGACGATGTTGTTTGCTAATAATAGGCAGTGTTACATGGTGTCTTTTTGAGAGTTCCTCTTGGGTTTTAATGTAGGACCTGAATTGTGGAAATAGTTTTTGCTCTTTAACAATATTTAGGTCATTCACACAGTAGGATGTGTCTTCTAATAAATCTTGTGTGTGTCATTAGCTTAAACTTGCTTAGTAGATCAGAACGCTCAAGCCAATCACTGTACGCCCAACCAAATGCCAGGCAGTCAATTCCAGTCATGTAATCCCTGCTGTCTGTCACCCTGTCTGTCTGTCTGTCTCACCCTCTCCCTATCTGCATTTCTCACTCTGATTGCTGTGCCTTGAGCTGAGCGGTTGATCCAAAGTTAAGCGTTGCCTTATGTCTCTCCAGTCCCTCACTGAGCAGGTGAGTCTGAGCACTGGCACCAAGAAACTCTTTGCCGCCACTGCCTTCGGCGCGGTCTCCCTCATCTACCTCGCCCGGCACTTCAGGAGGAGGAAGGGCAAGAAAAAAGCCAGTTTGCCTGTAGAGCAGGAAACATTTGAGTTCCTCACCACTGTCCCCCTGAAAAAAGGTAAATGCAGATCGCAAATCACCTTTAATTAACAAGGAGCGAGTATTATTACAGTTCAAATTATTTGATGAAAAATATAGAGTGTACTACTACTGCATTCAAACGTTTGGGGTCAGAAACATAATTTTTTTAAGTAATTAATACTTTTATTTCTCTAGGACAGTTAAGACTTTTATAATGTTACAAAAAAATATATGTGACCCTGGACCACAAAACCAGTCATAAGGGTCAATTTTTCGAAATTTAGATTTATACATCATCTGAAAGCTTAATAAATAAACTTTCAGTTTATGTATGGTTTGATAGGATAGGATCAATAGAACAATATATGGCCGAGATGCAACTATTTGAAAATCTGGAATCTGAGGGTGCAAAAAAAATCAAAATATTGATAAAATCGCCTTTAAAGTTGTCCAAATGAAGTTCTTAGCAATGCATATCACTTATCAAAAATTACGTTTTAATATATTTATGGTAGGAAATATACAAAATATCTTCATGGAACACGATCTTTACTTGATATCCTAATGATTTGTGGCATAAAAGAAAAATCAATAATTTTGACCCATACAGTGTATTCTTGGCCTCAAACTTTTGAATGGATTGTATATTATTTAAAAATATGTAGTAAATTATATATATATATATATTAATATATAGTACATTTATAATAATAAATAAAATTACCATTATGTAATGGTACAGTGGCTGTTTCTTTTTTCCCCAGAGTCTGAGTGTCAAAATCTGCCTCTGAACTCAAAGAACTGCTACTCGTGTAATGTGGTGTCCAATAGTAGTCCGTTCAGCAAGCTTTCCAGCTCCCTGCCGAGCCTGGCCTCCGTAAGCAACCTGATTTATTATCATCATCTTTGGATAGCTGTATAATATATCTGTGACTTCAGAAGTCTTATCAAATGTGTGCTTTTTGGCATCGAGATGTTGAAATGTCACATCTTTTCTCAGGTGAGGAGCAGGCACTCCTCCAGTAGCTCCACCTGTGCTAATGGCTCCAGTTGTTGGGATGGAGCAGGAGATGACGGTGAAGTCTGTAACCTGCTCAACATCCCCGTCACCACTCCAGAGAACCTCTACCTGATGGGTAAAAACATCTTCTGTCCTAAGACGAAGTTGCTTGTCATCTGGAAAGCAGTTGTTCAGTTTTAAGCATCATTTATGTAAACACATTTGATATTGATCTTAAAAGATATTGATCATGTATGTTCACAATCATAAATGTCATTCTAAAGCCAGGCGCACACTGCGATTTTTTTTTAAAGTCCTTTAGGATTGTACTTGTCAGACTGTGCGAACATGATGATCATGTCACACTGTGGGATCTCAGTTGTTATTAATGTCAGACTGTACGATAGTCAAGACGTGTTAAAAATGGGTGCGCGCAAGAAAACTTGTTGAAAAACGAAGACAGTTTGATGTTCGTCGTAGGAGAAGTCATACTGCAGGACTGTGCCCCAAATCTTCTGACACTGCCAGAATTTCGTCGGAGGTCAAATTGGATCGCAACGGCCATTAATGGGCTGTCAGTGAACATGTCAAACTAACGATCAAAGACTACAGATATTAGCCTAGGATTATAGGAATCTTTTAAGATTTTCAAAATTTGTCTCAGATGGCTAAATCGTGGCCAGAATCGCACAGTGTGAGCCGGGCTTAAATCTGATGTGTGTATTCATTTGCAAAAAGTTCCACATGTTGAGTAGATGTCTCGCTCACAGGAATGGAGTTGTTCGAGGAGGCCCTGCGGCGCTGGGAACAGGCGCTAACGTTCCGCAGCAGGCAAGCGGAAGATGATGAAAACTGTGCATCCGTGAAGCTGGGAGCTGGAGATGCCATTGCAAATGAAAGCATGGAGGTACTACTCACCAACCACTGAAGTTCTCAGTAGGGATGGGTGATATCTAGTTCATTTTGCAACTTTGAAATACGCTATTTTCAGTGAATGAGCAAGACTTCCAATTCACCAGCTGCTATAGGTAAATAACTAGAAGAATAACAAAGGCCAGTAAATGGTGAAACAAATTGCCTTACAAACCAATATATTCATGATTACGAAAATGAATTAAAATATGATAACTAGGGCTGTCAAGTGATTCAAATGTTTAATCTAATTAAATATGAGATGTGTCCAAGAATGAAATTAATTGCAAATAAATCATACACAAATTTTGGCTGAGAAATTGTCCCCCCAAAAGATCATTTAAAGTTTAAAATTCAGCATTGTGTAAATAATGATAATAAATGGGTTTTAAATGAATATTGAAATCTGAAAAAAGATGCTTTAAAGGTGACATATCATTCAAATCAGACGTTTCCAGGTTTTAAGTCCTATAATAAGGTTCCCAGTGCATCTACCAACTAAGGAAACATGAAGATTTGAAAGATTAATCCAGTAACTTTGGTTTGCTAAGCCTTTTTCTGCAAGCGTCTGAAAAAAACGAGCGTGTCTGATTTCGCTCCCTTGGTGACGTGGCAAAGGGCTCTCATTATAATATTACTGCCCCTTAATCTGTAAGTTTACACACACACAGTGCCATCATTTGATTTCACAAGAGACAGCGCTGTACTAGTTCTAATGCCATGGCGAAAGTTTGAGCAAAACATACTAACTGTTCTGTCTTTGGCTGCACAGACGAGCACAGAACACTGTTTAGAGTCCCAGCCTCAGAGGAGACAAGAGAGCAGTGGATTTATTGATTTATTTACTGTATATTGCTGCTGCCACACAGATCTAAAATAAACAGGCAGTTTATTTCCCAGCTGTTTACCTTCACAGACATAACCGACTGTTTTTTGTAACTCATGTGTGTTTTTAACGTAAACTTGTGTGTGAATGATAACTTAGTTTAGTACTCGCATGCTGTGACAGCCGCTTTCTGTCCGTGTGCTTCGGATGTGTGCTCTCAGAAAACCGTATATCATAAGTTTAAACTAATATGGTTTAAAACGCATGATTTCAGCTCGATAAACATGATAATCAGAACCAAAACAGATGTTTTTAGCAGACCCGAGCTGTAATGGGGCAGCTCTATTCTGGAAAAGGGGGCGGGGAGCAGCAACTCATTTGCATTTAAAGAGA